CATAATAAGGGATAAGCAGATCTTAAGTACACTATTATGGTTGTTGTTAAATGCCGTTGAGTCGGTTCTGACTCTTAGCAACCCTGTGAAGGATTTTTGAGGAGCAGCTGGTAGGTCTGAATTACTGCCCTTGCAGTTATCAGTGCAGTGCTTATCCTACAGTATCACACCAGGACTCCCAGTACACTAACGTAATGGAAATGGTAAGCTATTACTCTAAAAAAAAATCCTCAGATCAAGATGATTTTATAAATAAGATCTACTAAATTGAGTGGATCAGAAAATTCCTATACTTAAAAGTTGTTTGGAAATCAGTGGGATAGGAAAAACTTCAAATAATTTTATGATTTGTTAGAAAATCTTTATATCAAACTGGATATCAATCTTACAAGAACAAAAATTAGATAAATAGATAGATCGCTTTGAAGGTCCCTGGGTGGTGTAAATGGTTACAGTGCTTGACTGCTAACCAAAGAGTCCACCCAGAGACCCCTCACAAGAAAAGCCTGTAAGTTTACTGCTGACAAACCCTATGGAACACAATTCCGCTCTGACACACTATTTCCACATGGGGTTGCCACGAGTCAAAATGCACTTGAAAGTAACTTGTCTGTTTTCTGTTTTTAAATTGCCTAAATTAGTTTGAAAAAGAAAATGAAAATAGCATAGTACCATACAGGAAGAGGCTAACAAGCCAGCGGAACTAACTGAATGAGCACCTTAGAAACACACCACTGTACTTGGGAGAAGCTGGTTTTTAAGGGAGGTAGCTTCTTCACAAATTAGACAGGAAAAAAACTTTTTTTTTGTTTGTTTTAAGGGGAGAGAAGAGAAGGCTATGTGATTTTAGAAAATTGTCTTAATGAGAATGTGGGGAGAGTACGTAGGAAAAACTATTCAAATCATTTTATGGTTTATTATAAAATCAGAAAATACCAGAACGATGTTTACTTGTGCTTTATTGACTGTGCAAAGGCTTTCTATTGTGTGGGTCATGACAAGCGATGGACAACATTGTAGAGAATTAATATTTTGGAACAGTTAATTGTGCTAATGAGAAACCTATACATAGACCAAAAGACAGTTGTTCAAATAGAACAAGGGGACACTGAATGGTTTAAAATTAGGAAAGGTGTGCACCAGGGTTGTATTCTTTTTACCATACTTATTCAGTCTGTTTGCTGAGCAAATAATCTGAGAAGTTGCATTATATGAAGAAGAACATGGCATCAGGATTGGAGGAATACTCACTAACAACCTACAATATCCAGATGATACATATTTTGCTTGCTGAAAGCAAAAAGGGCTTAAAATGATAAAGACCAAAGACCACGGCCTGCAGTATGGGTTGCACCTCAGTATAAAGAAAACAAAAGTCCTCACAAGTGGACCAATAAACAACATCCACATAAGTGGAAAAAAGATTGAAGCTGTCAGAGACTTCATTTTGCTTGGATCAATCGTCTATACTCATGCAAACAGCAGTCAAAAAATCAAATGATGTATTGCAGTAAGCAAATCTGCTGCACAAGATCTCTTTAAAGTGTTCAAGAGCAAAGATGTCAGTTTGAGGACTAAGGTGCGCCTGACCCAAGCCATGGTATTTTCAATAATCTCACATGCCTGTGAAAGTTAGACAGTGAATAGGGAAGACCGTAGAAGAATTGCTGCATTTGAGTTATGGTGTTGGAGGAGAATATTAAAAATACCATTTACTGCCAGAAGAACAAATAAATCTGTGTTGGAAGAAGGCAGACAGAATGCTCTTTAGAAGACAGAATGGCCAGACTTCTTGTCTCATACTTCAGACATATTATCAGGAGGGACCAGTCCCTGGAGAAAGACATCATGCTTGGTGAAGCAGTTGTTGTTGTTGTTAAGTGCCGTCGAGTCGATTCCAACCCATAACGACCCTGTACAGGGTTTCCGAGGCTGTAAATCTTTACGGGAGTAGACTGCCTCATCTTTCTCCCGCGGAACTGCTGGTAGTTTCGAACTGCCGACCTTGAGGTTCGCAGCCTGATTCGTAACCACTACGCTACCAGAGCTCCATTGGTGAAGCAGAGGGTCCGCTAAAAGGAGGAAGGCCTCCGATAAGATGGATTGGCACAGTTGCAGCAACAGTAAGCTCAAGCATTACAACGGTTGTAAGGTTGGCGCAGGACTGGGCAGTGTTTCATTCTGTTGTGCATAAGGTCGGTACAGTCTCAATGGCACCTAACAACAACAAGGGAGAAATAAAAATTTATCTTTATGTTTAACAATTCTAGAGAGATTATAGACATAAATATCAAAGCTGAGATATAAAGCCAATAGATAAAAATGTGAAACAGCTGAGAATTAGTGGTAAGGAAAGATTGCTTCCCTAAGATCTGTTGTTGTTAAGTACTGTTGAGTCAGTTCCCCCTCATATTGACCCTGTATATGGTTTCCTAAGAGTGAATGGTGAGTTTGAACTACTGACCTGGTAGTTCAAACCGACTATCAATTGTGTGGGTCATGACAAGCTCTGGACAACATTGCAAAGAATGAATATTCTGGAACACGTACTTAATTGTGCTCGTGAGAAACACATAATTTGGTCCAGTGCTTATCCTAAAGCGCCACACCAGGACTCTAACTCCACAAGCTCTAAAAAGCACTAATTATAATAGAAAAATAGACTCATTTGTCTATGTTAACATGAGAAAGCATTGAATGTGAGTAGTGCTCCATAAATACCAGTCTTCATGATTTCATTCCCTGTTCTTCATAAAGAACACTGCATTGCTCCAGGTATGGGCTCATTGGGAAGAGATGGCAGTTACTGAGATTCAGGCTTAGGGAGAGCCTCCAGGGCCCTAAAACAGAGCAGGCTTTGTGATGGTCTAAAATGCTGCTCTCTCAGAGTGTTCAAACTAGCTCTACAAGGAGCCTCTTACTCAGCAGCCTAAAATAACAGGTTTGGATAGCCAGAGAAACTGTGAAAACTTACTTAATCAATATAGGCCTTGGGCCATCCTTTGCTGCCCACGCTTTCAGAGTGCTGCAGACCCACCTAATGCAAGGGTTGGGCAAGTCACTGATAACTCACAACCAACCTGACTGAACTCCAGAAACATGCCAGGAACTTGTTAAAAATAAGCTAGAGGGCCCCACCCTGACAGACTGTTCAGTAGGTGTGGGCAGCTCAGGAATCTCCATTTGCCCAGCTCCCAAGTGCGGCCAGGGTTATAGCTAGAATCCAAAGGGTCAGGACTCAGCTTCCAGGTGGGAATGGGGAGGGGAGTGGATGCATATAACGTATGTGTGTGTGGTATGTGTGTGTGTGTGTGTGTGTGCGCACACATAAGGGGTGTGTGTAGTGGGTGCATGTTAGGGATGTGTATGTAAGGGAGTCCTGGTGTGGTGCTGTAGGATAAGCATTGGTCAGTGGTTCAAACTCACCAGTTCAAACCTGACAGCTACTCCTTCGAGTCAGGGATTTTTTCCTTCAGCACTTAGGTCTAGCACATGTTTTCCCAGAGCTGGTGGGTTTGAACCGCTGACCTTGTGGTTAGCAGTGCAGTGTTTATCCTACAGCACCATAAAGGCTCTTCAGATGTAGAGAGTTATCGGTGGGGAAACCGAGGCTGGGAGAATGGCATGATGTTCCAGGAGTCTTAGAAACACTGGACTTCTCAGATCTCTCAGGATTTTTAAAACTGTGCTCTTCAGAATTCAATTGCTCTAACTTTCCCATGCCTTTAAAGAGCCCTGGTTACACTCTGGGTTAGGTGTTGGGCTGCTCAGAAACTTACATAGACCGAAACTGAAAGGAGAAATCAACTAGATGGCAGTGGGATTTCTTTTTGGTTTTGGTTCACTCTTTCCAGGCCAGGGTCCGAGTTGGAGCCGTCTAGGCATCCTTGGAGCTAGCCCCAGCCTTGGTACTCAGTGGGTATGCAGTAGGTATTGTGGACTACTGGGCACATCCATCCATTCTCCGGAGAGTGAGCCTTCTGAACCCAGATTGGAAGGACAGACCCTTCCTCAACCTTGAGTTGTCCCAGGCTCACTGTGAGTCTGACCCCTAGCTGGCCTTGTGCTCAGGGCACCTGGGGCATGGCACCGGTGATAACCATCACTACCATTTACTGATCCATGTTTTGTGCCAGGTACCCTGCACATACACACCTTTACCTTCTGCCCCAGAACCCTTAAAACTGCCAGGGCTCCGCTACACAAAAGCCCATTTTTTGCTATTTCTATGAAAATGATACATACTTGTCTCTGGAAAAGATTGGAAAGAAATGCATCAACCTGTTAATGGTGGTTATCACTGGCTGGCATTCTTTGATTTAAAACAAACATTTTTTCTTTCATTTTGCTTGGTTGCATCTTCTAAATTTTCTACAGAGATTGTGTATTGCTGTACCATTAAAAAGTAAATAAGGTCAGGGGAACATGAAGGGGATGGAGCGTGCAAGGAGATCCAAATTGGGAGAGTCGGTGTTTCCACAGGGATTGTTGTTGCTGTTGTTAAGTGCTGTGAAATAGAATCTGATTCATAACAACCCTGTGTAAGGTTCCCAAGGCTGTAAACCTTTGCAGGAGCACAAAGTCTCATCTTTTTCCTGTGGAGCAGCTGGTGGGTTTGAATTGCTGTGCACTGCTTATCCTACAGAGCCAACATACTCATTCCACAGAGAGGGAGGGGCTTATTTGCATATGCAAACAAGAAGAGGGAGGAGGGTGCCTGGAATCCTTTCAGGTCCTCAGATATACCCCTCTGAATGTGTGCAGCCCCTGGGCCTAGTCTTTACAGGGTGGGCTAGTGGTGTCTGTGCCTGCAGATTGGGTGGTCTGTTTGCCCCCTGCCCCACCGGATTTGTGAGACAGGGCAACGAGTGAGTGCTCAGTAAGCGTCTGTGACCAAGGCGAACCCCGTGGCTGTCCTGGTCCTAAGGTGCACCCCGCGGCTGTCTTGGGTCCCAAAGTACGTGAAGGTCTAACTTGCCCTCGGGGCTTCTGTTCTCTAGATCCACTTTCCGGACGTGGAGCGGGTCGAATGGGCAAACAAGGTAAGACTAAGGGCCAGGCCTGGGGCTCTGTGAGCACTCCACGCCAGCCCTGCTTGGTATTTCTAGTATGACAGCTCTGTGAGTCACCCAGTCCTTGAGATTTGTGGCCAAAGCAGAAAAGTTAGAAAACAGAAGAGTGAAAGACTGCCACGAGCCGCTGGCCCACCAAGCTTAGGCTGGTGCTTCCTACAGATAAGAATGTATTGATTGATGTACCAAGTGCTGGAATCTCACCTGGTTCCCAGCCAGATCTGCCAGCACTGGCTGCGTGACCTTGGGCAGGTTGCTTAACGTCTCTGAGGTGGTTTCCTCACTTGTAACTTGGGAATAATTATATAGTCCCTGCCTGGTGGGATTGTTATGAGGATTAATGAGGTAATTACGTGCCCAATGCCTGGCACATCATGAGCGCTCAGATTATTCACTCGCATCATTGTTGTGATTGGTGTTAGATCACTGTGAACTGCACCAGGGAGGGCTGGGCACCTAAACTCCGGATCTGGCCCTCCCCCAGCAGGAATCTAAGCTGGACAGATGAGGTAACCATCCTGTCCCTTCCTGGTCTGCCAAAACACATCACTAAACTGAAAGACTCTTCTGCAGTCCCCACCTGGAGTCTCCACATCCAGAGCTTTTTCCAAGGCCAACCTTTCCTCTACTTGGGGAAGAGGCTTAGCCCGTAGCAGAAATGACTTAGGTTAGGCTTAAGAAGGGACTTCCTGATGGTTGTTGATCATAGGTTGTTGTTGTTATGTGCCGTGGAGTCGGTTCCGACTCATAGCGACCCTGCACAGGGTTTCCGAGGCTGTAAATCTTTATGGGAACAGAAAGCCTCATCTTTCTCCCGTGGAACAGCTGGTAGTTTCGAACTGCTGACATTGAGGTTCACAGCCCGATTCATAAACATCACGCTACCAGAGCTCCTTGTTGATCATTACCAGAAATGTCAGTGGATCAAAAACTCTGTGACCTGCCTGATGCTAAAATTTGGAGGAGGCAGGTGGCTGATTTTAAGAGGATTTCTGAGGATTCATGCCAGGTCTAAAGCCCCTGGGGCAAACCTTGTTTCATATCCACAAATTTGAGTTTGTTCATGGATTCATGCACGCATTACATCTTTTTGTCACTGACTGACACACAGACACCCACACAACCTAGGGCCTTATTGGGAGACTGCTGTGGAGACAGACCCCAGACTAGAGCACTAAGTTTCCAGCACCAACTTCACACCTCGGAGACCTGGGGTGGATGGGAAACTAGCAAGACCAGGTCCTGAAAGACATCATCCATTTTTCAGATGGGAACAATAAGGCCCCGAAGTTTCATAGTCTTTAAACTCTTCCATTTATGGGTTTGGAATGGGGAGAAGGTGAGAGGTAGGTACTTCTTTATACTGAGACCCAAATTCACAGGCAAGGGGAGAAGGCTTTGCTCCAGACAGCACATATTGGCCAACTAGTCCTCCTTCCACACTTCTCCATGACCATGCTGTCATCTCCCACTAGGCTCCAAGTCTCTGCCCCCTCCCTTTCCCCAGGTCCCATGTTTGGCTCCCAGACCAAGGAGTTGTTCTGCTGTAGGAATCAACCAAACGCAGTCTTCCCTAATTACTACAGTAACACCGTCTTCGCTAATTACTACAGAAAAATTAAATCCAGGAAGCAATTTTAAGTTTCTCTTCCATGATACTGCCCTTAAACCTCTGGCACCTACTTTTTACTGATACCAGAATATAGAATGATATCGTTCGTGTTTTAGCACAGAATTGAAAAGCTTCCCAATATGACATTTAGTGGGTATTACACGGTGTTCTGTAGGACGGCTTCAAAGCCTGGGGCCCTGCTGCCTTGTGCAATTTATCAGGTATTAGCTGGGCAGGTGGATGGATAAGTGGGTAGGTGGGTGAGCCAGCAGGCCAGTAGAGAACTACCATCACACCCCCATAAACCCATTGCCAGTAGTAGGACTGTGGGGTCCCCCTTTCTAGGCTAGGTTATAGAGGATCAGGCTTTGCCTCCATAGGTCAGGGTAGAGACACAAGCCTGACCACCCCTTCCTGTCTTCTCAGATCATCTTCCAGATCTGGCCCTACCTAAGCATGATCATGGAAAACAAATTTCGGGAGAAACTCGAGCCAAAGATCCGGGAGAAGAGCGCCCACCTGAGGAGCTTCACCTTCACCAAGCTCTACTTTGGACAGAAGGTCAGTGCTATCTCAGGAGGTCAGCCCAGACCAGTTAGCAGTCTCTTCTCCATCCCCTTTCTCACCCCCTAAAGTCCCCTCACTCTCAACACAGGTCAGACACCTGAGAGCAGAATTTCCTCCTACTATATCAGGGACACCACCTCCACTTGTATTTTCCAGCCTCTTGGCCTCAGTACAGCTCCTCAGTCTCACCTCCACCATCTCCCCAGCTTCCAAACCTGCCTCAGAGAGAACAGAAAAGGAGTGGTGGAAATCATTCCGTTTTTCTTGAACAACAACAAAAAAGGGTGGTGCAGGGGAAGCATAGCCATATGGCGATAGCCAGAGAGACACAAAGATGTCTAAGTCACAGTGGCTCACCTCAGGCGTCAGCTGGGGAGACACCTTTGTGGATAGAGACAGTGCCACAAACAGTATCTGTGATGATCAGCCAGGGTCCCAGGATAAAATGATCATGGCCAAAGACATTTATGCTTCACATAGACTGAGCTCCCGGTTTCCCGTTTGTCCCCCACTCCTTCTGCCCCAAAGTGCCCCTTGGCCAATCAGTGTCAGTCGTACTCTAATGATACAAAAATTCATCCCCATCTAGAGAACTGCCATCACAGCCATAAACCCATTGCCATCGTGTCAGTTCCGACTCAGCAGCCTCGCAGGACTGAGTAGAACTGCCCCGTGGGGTTTTCAAAGCTGTAATCTTTACAGAAGCAGACGGTCACTTTATTCTCCCATGGATCGGCTGGTGGATTTGACCTGCCAACCTTTTGGTTAGCAGCTGAGCAACTAACCTCTGTGCCACCAGATTCCTTGCTATGATGTCCATTACCCAGTAACTCAAAGGTGTTGACATCTGATCAGCTCTGGAATGAGCATGTGTCAGGGTGCAGACCAGCCTGCTGAGAACTTCGTCCTAGGGGTGGGTGCCTGGGTACCACCCTGAGTAGTTAATGCTATGAAGACTCTCGCAGGACTGGCATGTGGCAACACCCATTGGTTCATTTGCTCATTCCTTGTTTCTTCCTGAGCACTTACTGGGTGCTAGGCACCATAGACAGAAAGATAGGTGTGGCTGTGTCCTGCCTACAGGAAGGTCACCGTCTTGTGCGAGGCAAACACATAAGCTGGCAGGTGACAAGATGACAGTGCCCATACAGTGGTAGAGGAATTCATGAGCTAGACAGGGAAGACTTCCTGGAGGGAGTGATGTCTGAGTTGGCTTTTCAAGGGTTCGTCAGGCTGATCTAGGAAGGAGGGCATCACAGGAAGTTTTCAGAAGTTTGCAGATGCTGTGTCTGGAGCAGAGCCTGTTCCTCCGGGGGCCTGGGTGTTGGGGGAACTGCTTACAAGCAGATTACTCACAGGCAGCTGAAGCAGGGTTAAAGGTGGCTGATCCTAAGGACTGCTATCATAAAGTCAGGGAAACCTGCAGGCAGAGCCAGCCCACTGCTAGGTATATCTGATTCCTCATTCAAGTCCTGTCCCCGCTTCCCTCCTCTCAGCACTCCAATCCCCTTCACCTTGGGGTCATGTGACCTCCTCATGTGACCCCCTGGGCTTGGCCAGGTCCCTGTGCTCACACCTACAGCCCCATATCTGTTTACGACTCTATGCTGTGGTGACCTTGGGCCAACGATGTCACCTCTCTGATCTCTGAGTCCTCATCTGTAAAATGAAAGGATCCCTTCTAAGGGGTGTTGTGAGGTGTGAATGCCCGGCCTAGCCTCAGGGTGGTCTGTGTAGGTCGAAGGAGTTGTGCCCAGTGTGACCCATGGGGCCCAGTGGAGGCCAGATTCCAAACTAGCATCTGTCACCTAACCATGAGCAGCTGTTCAACCATTGGTTTTCCCTGCTTTCTGTGGTAGAGGTCCCCGGTGAGCAGACTTCCTCATGATGTTTCTCTCCAGACAAAGGTCTTAGGCAGGCTGAATTTTCATAGGTGCCAGGCCTCGGGAGGTTAAATGTCCTATCTCCTCCCAGGCTCCCACAGATCTTTCTGGGCCTTTAATAGCAAAGTTTTGGAGGCCAGGGCAGAGCCTTGTACGGTAGGGCCTGAAGGTTCTACAATCCCAGGGCCCTCTTAAGGAAAAAGAATATCACATTACAAAATACAAAATTAGGCCCAAAGTGAATATTTATTTAGAAGGAGAAAATAAATCACAACACATTGCACATTTGTGAAAGCTGACATATCACACATGTCAGAAACTGGACACAATGCATGATGTTTTTCATTCTGTGTCTACACGTCTGTATCATACTTCTCTACATTTTGGGCTTCACACTCTTTGATAACCTCTTCACTTAACAATACATTGAAAGAGTAGAGAAGCAGAAGAATTTCATCTTTCTTCTGGTGTGCTTAATTGGATTTTTCTCCATTTTGTTATGAAACATTTCAAACGTGCAGGAAAGTAAGAGAACTCTATAGTGACACCACCACGTACTCACCGTCTGGACTCTGCAGTTGTTAGCCTTTTGTTCTGTTTGCTTTGCTACCCGTGCATCCATCTCTCTAACCATCTTCTTTTCTCTTGTTGGGTGGATCTCAGTGGACTTCACTCCTGACCACTTCAGCATGCATGTCATTAACGTGGGTTCAGATGAAATCCAATTTTTCTTATTGGTACATAGTAACCAGACCTCACTGCAATGCCACCTGGCAGGAGGAGAAGCGCAGGATCTGGGTAGACAGGGGCAGCTGATAACAGAAGGAAAACAACCTATGAGCTCAGCTCTTGGCCCCAAGCCTGACTTAGGGTGCAGGCATTGTACTTTCTAGGATCAGCATCTTCTGCCAGGGACCCTGCCCTCTCCTCTAGCCCTTATGGGGTCAGCTCATCTGCCAGCATTTCGCCAGCACTCAGCTTTAATGCCACTTCCATCCAGGAGGCCTCACTGATCCCCCAAGGTTGGGCTGGGGGTCCTCACTGCTGCTAGGCTGTGCACCCATGAGGCAGGCTCAGACCTGCCTTACTCCCTGCCGTCTCCCGAGTCCAATGCCCAGCTTATAGTAGGTGCTCAGTAAATACAGAGGCAGGGAGGGAAGCCTCAGGAGGACCACAGCTGACAGGGCTGTGGGGTGGCTTTCTGTGTTTGTATCTCATCCTGGGAGGGCAAGGGCCATGGCTGCTTTGTTGATGAAGCCCAGTGCTGGGTGGAGTACTGACAGCCATCCCCTGCTGACCCCACCCTCTGGCATCTCTTTCAGTGCCCCCGGGTCAATGGTGTTAAAGCCCACACTAACAAGTGTAACAGAAGACAGGTGGTCCTGGATCTGCAGATATGGTGAGCTCTCTTGCTGTGGGGGCTGGGGTGGGTTCCAGGGGCTTCATGGGCCTCCCTGATGATATTCTATTTGAAGATGAAGTATATATACATTCTGATTTGGGACATGAAACCCTCTCACAGTGACACACACACACACACCAGGGCTGGAGTACAAGGTCCCTGCTTAGAGAAGGGTGTCAGGGGAATGGATGGAAGAGGACTAGTCTAGGGAAGCCGCAACCATCTGACCCCTAGGCCAGGTCTGACATCTGCCATCAGAACAGGCAGTTCCAAGGCCCAGAAGCAGAGCTTTCTTGAGGGCTAGGGCCAGATCATCCTAAGGGTCTGAAGAGCTGTCTTGAAGGAGCACATGGCTAGAGGGAATAGGTGTGGCCAGACCCAGACAGCTCTGGGCACCAGATGAAAGGGACCAGTGGGAGAAATGGTTCTGGGCAGTGTGAAGCCACAAGAGAGACTATTCAGCAGGTCGGTCAAGGGCACCTCATTTAAATGAGGTTTGTAATAGGTCCGCAGTCTTCCCAGGGGAAGTGAGATTGAACTTGTGCTGTGAAGGACCAAGGACCACTTCCTGAGGTTCCAGAAGTTTGGCATTCCTTTCCTCATTCCCTGTCCTTAGACTAGTGGCTGGCATGCAGGGCATGCTGGGAAGACAGGAGCTAGCTCCAGACACACTCATTCCCATTGGGTGACTGGTCTTAAGTGTGTTGGAATGGTGAGTGGGCTCTTTGACTGCTCCTGCCCCTGAGGCCCTGCCATGGGATCCATGTATGAAGAGTCGGGACACATTGAGGACATCTGGTCCCTTCAGTCTCCCAGTCAGCTTATACGACCCGAGGGCTCCTCCTGCCCCCTGTGCCTGTCCTTTCAGGGCTTGTGGCATCCAGCTGCTCTGCCTGTGTCTTGCCCATATTTGACCACCATCCTTCATTTGATTAGTCCTCTCCTCAAGCCTTTGACAGCCTCCTATCCCAGTGGGGGGCGAGGGGTCACCAGTGAGGGGCTGACACACCCTCGGGGGTACCCCTTCTGGGCTCAGACAAGAGCCACCAGCTGGCCTCAGGCTCCCATTCTTGCAGCCTGAGACCTTGTAACCTTCATCCACCCCCACCACTAGCCTGGGGCTTGTCTACAGAAATAGTTGGGTTAAGCAGCTGAGGCTCCCCACAGTCCTTACTTCTCATCTCTGTGGCCGGTGAGAGAGCTGGTGCCCAGATCCATTGCCTCATGATCAGAGAGGTGGGGATATCCATGGATGGCTTCTGGGTACAGGGACTCGGAGGCTGCCTCCTGGGCTGGAGTCTGTGCAAAGGCTGAGGTCATGGGCTGAGGAATGCAGAGTTCAGGCTTGCCGGCTAATACCTGGGTCTGGGCTGTATGCTTCTGGACATGTTTGTCCACCACTCTGAGCGATGCATCTGCCCCATCCTCCCCACCTTCTTATGCCCTCCCTACTTCCAGTTACATCGGAGACTGTGAGATCAGTGTGGAGCTGCAGAAGATACAGGCTGGTGTGAAAGGGATCCAGGTGGGTGAAGTCCAGAGTGCCTGCTCCACCAGCCCCTGGCGTGTGGGCAGGAGACGGGGAAGTGGGTCCAAGCACCAAATCCAGAGGCAGTAGTGATGCAGGAAGTGGTGGCGCTGGGCTTGGACCAGCTGCTCTGCCTCGTTGGCCTCACAGCTGCCTCTGTTTGCAAAGTCGCTCTGGGAGAGGGTCTGTTTAAGAAGCAGTGCAGGACCATAACTTAGAAACGGAGGTGGACTGGGGAGGTGGAGCCGGAACTCACTCCTGGGTTCCTCCTTGCTGGCCCACCTGACACTGTGACCAAGGTGGGGTCCAGTGAGACCCGAGAGGTAGGGGGCAGCTCAGGGTGCCTTGGTAGCCAGTAAAGGAGTGGCAGCTGTATCCAAACCTCTGCACCCCCGGTGTGGTCTCTGGTCTGGCAGCAGGTGTCTGGGGAGAGTGATCCTGACCTTTGGGGGTAACACAGGCATGTGATGAGGCAGCAGCAGGCACGGGAGAAAAGGAGCTGGGATCCCTCATGGTCCACTGTGCCGGTTCAGTTGCAGGGCACACTTCGGATCATTCTGGAGCCCCTCCTGGTGGACAAGCCCTTTGTGGGAGCTGTAACCGTGTTCTTTCTACAGAAGCCGGTAAGTCCAGGGACTGGAGGTAGCCCCACGCTGGGACTGAGCACTCTCCACTGACTGACGTTACCCGAGTCCCACCTAGTCCTGGGCACATAAGGATTGTCTTATTTCACCCTAAGACACCTTGAGGAACTAGATTCTGCTGTCTCCTAGATGGGGAAACTGAGCTCAGAAAAGTGGCTCACCAAGGTCACCCAGAAGGTCTGAAGTAGAGTGGACAGGCTGACTTAGGGCCCTGTGGACTGGTCCATTCCCAGGATGGTACTGGCAGGAAGTGGCAGACCCCACAACCCCTGCCTTGTCCCGCTTAAAGGCCTGAGAGGCTGGGAAGGTGCCCTGACCTGCCTGACACCGCTGCTAAGGGTGTCCCCCAGTAGACTGCATTCTCCATTCAGGTGGGGGCAAGGCACTTGGCAGAAGGTTCACAGCCCTGAGCTCCAAGCACCTTCCAGCCTAAGAGCTTCCCTCTGCTTGACAGCACCTGCAGATCAACTGGACAGGCCTGACCAACCTGCTGGATGCACCCGGAATCAAGTGAGTACCTGGCAGTCCGCTGGGGCGGGGGTCTCCAGATGTGGGATCCTTGGGCCTGTGCACACCCTCCCACCCTACTCTCAATGCACGATGAGTGAGCAGCAGTGAGCCCTCCCCCCCACCAAGAGGGAAAGTGGGTGGGGAAGAAGGGAGCAGGGGCATGAGAGGCTAGCAACGTTGAAGGCAGCCTTTAAGCGCAGTGTGCACGCATGAGCACTCATACACATAGTGTGAGGGAGAAGTGCTTCATTTCATGTTGGGCTGAGGGATATGCAGGTCCCTGTGCTGGTGCAGGGGGAGGTGGCTCTGATCGAATGAGATTGGGCCTAGGGACAGTTGCTTAGACTAATGCGAGTGAGCACGGGCAGGCATTGAAACCAGTCCCAGCCAGACTAGTCTCCTGACTCTGTCATTTAGTATCTGTGTGAGCTTGGACAAGTTACTCCACCTCTCTGGGCTCTTCCTCAGTAGAGAGGAACCTGTTTCCTCTGCCTGGGGTCCCTATGGGAACGGGTGTGTGTGGTGGCAGCAAGGCGGTGTGGACACATATGAATTTCCTCTTTTCTTCCTCACTTGCCAGTCCAAGTGTGTCGTGAGAAACTGTGAACCCCTCCTTCCCCCCACTCCCCTGACAGGATCACAAGTACAGGTGTGAGAGGGTGAGGTGGCCACAGGCCAGTGGGGAAGAACTAGCCTGGGAGGTCCCACCTTCCTGGGGCCCCATGTGAACACCTCCACAGGCAGGAGGCACAGCTGGGTTGAGGGGCCATCCCATTGCTCTTGGCCCCCTGGACACAGAGAATGTAGTCATGCATTTGTTCATTAAGAAAATATTTACTGAGAACCTACAGTGTGCCCTCCTGTTCTACATGCTGCCCCTATCTCCCTGTACCCTGGAAACAGACAATAAACAAAGAGATCAGGATGTTGGAGCAGGGGGTGGGGATTCACATAGCATGTGCTTTGTACTAATACCATTCTTAGAGTCCGGGTGTGGTGCTGTATGATAAGCACTGAACTGCTAACTTCAAGGTCGGCAGTTCAAACCCACGAGCTGCTCTCCTTAGAAAACCTATATAGGGTTGCTGTGAGTTGGAACTGACTCAGAAGCCCTTAACCGCAGTAACAAGCACCATTCTCAGCACTTTACTCATAATAACAAGTGTAGGAAGTGGGCATTATTATCCCCCTTTTAGATCAGGACGCTGAGGCCCACAGAGGTTAGTGAGTGGTCGAGCTGGGAAGCTCACATGGGGGCTCATTGCTCTCAGGTTCCATGCTTTGCTCCTGGAAGAACAAAGCAGGACTGGGGCAGGGAGGTCAGGGACTGTCCAGGTGCATCCCTCCACCACATATTCCACACACATAGACTCACGCATCCATCTCAGGCAGACCAACAATGCTGCTTTCTCCTTGGTGGGTTGGCCCTGCCAAGCTCTGGGGATGGGTGGAGGGGCACCCCCCCCCCCCCCAGCACAGCCGGTGATGCCTGGTATCCCCAGCGAGGTGTCAGACAGCCTACTGGAGGACCTCATTGCCGCCCACCTGGTGCTGCCCAACCGCGTGACCGTACCTGTGAAGAAGGGGCTGGATGTGACCACCCTGCGCTTCCCTCTGCCCTGTGTGAGTACCTGGCCCTGGGCCCAGTGTTGAGGGACAGACAGCTGGTGTGTGTGCTAGGGTAGGGGAAGACTCCTGCTACCTGGAGTGCATTATCAGATGACAATCCTTATTGCCCCAAAAGGGCATGGCATCCCCATTTTGTAGGGTGGACACTGAGCCCGGGGAAGTTGAATGACTACCCCAAGGTCACCCTTCTAGTGAGAGGCAGGGCCCAGGGCTAATTCATTATGAGTTCCTGGTCCCCTCCATGTGGCCTATGTTGGAGAGAGTGGACAGTTACCCTGTAAAGATCTAGGAGCTTCCTATCCGCCTTTCAGGGACAAGAGACTTCTCAAACTCTTTTTTTTCTTAATGTTTTATTGTGAATTATGTGATAGTTTACATGGGAGAACATCAGTCTCACATTCATTCTAACGTATATCGTCTCATTGCCATGGTTACAATCCCCTCCATGCAATCCTTCCCCCGTACCCCCCAGGTCTTCAGCACACAGTTGCTCTCCCTCTCTGGATCTAAAGTCTCCAGCTGCCCCATCGCTCCACGTCATCATCTCTGCCTCCATTTCAGGCATCACTGCTTCTCTGGGTAGGGTCCCGCTCTCTGCTCTTCTCCCTTGATGGTCTTAGGGACCTCTGCTCCTAGACTGAAAATCATTCCCCTCCTTGCTATAAAACGTCTACCTTTACATTTCCAACCTTCACAATCAGTCCTGATAACAATTATTCACTATTGTATCACAAGAGACCCGTCTGCATTTCACTGCATCAGCTCCGCCTAGTCAGATTGAATACTACTCACTGGAGATTCTATCTTCCTCCAGGCCCTCTGGGTCTAGGTTCCCTCTTGAAAGCTTGTAAGCCAGTCACTTCTTGCCTTTGTAGCCCCCCACCCCCCATTTTGGGTAGCCAGTGTCCAAGTTGCCCATCCCTGGCTACTCTGTGTGTGGAAGGGGTGGGAATGAATCTTGCTGTAAGGACTTGTGCACTCTTTTGAGCTACTGCTTCCATTGTATGAGAATACTTTTTTTTTTTTTTTTCCTTTTCTTTTTACTTCTGGTTGAGCTCTGATCATCCAGTCACTGAAGCCAGGATAAGTGGGTATTATCTGCAAGAGACTTCTCAAACTCCATTGTTTTCACTCCAGGAAGGAGTTTTGAGGTTTACTGGGGAGAATTCCCCTGGGGCATCCATGCGGCTTCTCCACTGGTCAGCACTGGAAGTCAGGGCCTCAGGAGAGAGGGAAACGCCAAAGCAAATTCACTGCTGTCACACCAGTTCTGACTCATATCCACACTGCAAAGGCCTTAAATCTTTATAGAAGCAGAAAGCCTTGTCTATCTCCTCTGCAGCGGCTGGTGGGTTTGAACTGCCTATACCTTTCCGTTAACAGTGCAGTGCTTATCTTGCAGTGTTACCAGGGCTGCTGGTGAGAGGAAAAGACCCCAATTTTACCATTGGCATCAGGAGTGAGGCAGCGGTTTGTTTGTTTTACACTCTCTTATGGCATCTCCTCCTCAGGCCTTGTCACGCATGGTACTCTGACCTGAGAGGACAGACACACACCTCCTTCTCTCTGTGTCCTGTCTCCTCAGGGACGTGCGCGCTGGCTCCTCCCATGGAATGGTTCCAGGCACTCACACCCCAGGGTCCCAGCTTCCAGGTGGGGGCTCCTACTGGAAGAACCCTTTCAGGTCTCATTCCTTCCCTCCCAGAGAATGTTCCACAAGTGCTGCTGGTACTTCTTTTAAACCCTCTCATTCATGTCCCCTGACTCCCCAGAAACCCTGTGATCATCAGGGAGGATGTGCCTGTCCTGTTGGTCCCAGTTGTCAGCACGCCTGTGCCCTCTGCTCCCCTTACTGGAATCTTCATCATGTTAGCCCCAGAGAATTCAGCCCTGACTTAATAGGGTGACACCAGAACATGGAGACACATTTCATCCTTAACCTTGGCCTGTGTCATTTCCCCATCTTTCCAACGTCTCCCTCTACTCCTAAAGCCACACCCCAGTCTTGGAATTTTTTTTTTTTTTTTGGCACACCTAAATCATTTGGAGAAAAATGATTACAGAAGACAAAATATTATAATGAAATGTGCAAAGACCTAGAATTAGAAAAACAAAAGGGAAGAACATCAGCATTTCTCAAGCCAAAAGAACTGAAGAAAAATTCAAGCCTCAGGCTGCAATATAGAAAGGTTCTGTGCACAAAATATTGAATGATACAGGAAACATCAGAAGACGATATAAGAAATACAGAGTCGCTGTGCCAAAAAGAATTGGTTGGTGATCAACCATTTCAAGAATATGATCAAGAATCAACAGTACAGAAGGAAGATGTCCAAGCGGCACTGAAGGCAATGGTGAAAAATAAGGTTCCTGGAATTGATTGAATACAAATTGAAATCTTTCAACAAACTGATGAATTGTTAGAGGTGCTCACTCAGCTTTGCCAAGAAATAGTTACCTGGTCAACTGATTGGGAAAGATCCGTATTTGTGCTCACCCCAAAGAAAGGTGACTCAGTGGAATGCAGAAATTATTGAACATTGTCATTAATATCACATGCAAGTACAATTTTGCTAAAGATTATTCAAAAAAGAATTGTAGCAGTACACTGACAAGGAGTTGTCAGAAATTCAAGCCAGATTCAGAAGAGGGTATGAAACAAGGGATATCATTGCTAATGCCAGATGGATCTTGCCTGAAAACAGAGAATACCAGAAAGATGTTTACTTGTGCTTTATTGACTATGCAATAGCATTCAACTGTGTGGATCATAACAAACTATAGATAACATTGCAAAAAATGAATATTCCAAAACACTTAATTTTGCTCATGAGGAACCTGTACATAGAACAAGAAGCAGCTTGTAGAACAGAACCAGGGGACACTGAATGATGCAAAGTAAGGAAAGGTGTGCTTATTCAATCTGTATGCTCAGCAAAGAACCCGAGAAACTCAAGTACATGAAAAAGAACATGACGTCAGGATTGGAGACTTATTAACACCCTACCTTGGTAGTGTTACGGGTCAGCAGTTCGAATTCAACAACTGCTCCGCAGGAGAAAGGTGGAGCTTTCTGCTCCCATAAAGATTCACAGCCTTGGAAACCCTATACAAGGTCACTGTGAGTCGGAACCGAGTCCATGGCACATAGTAGCAGCAGCAGCATATGCAGATGACACAACCTTGCTTACTGAAAGTGACGAGGATTTGAAATACTTACTGCTAAAGATCAAAGATGACAGAACAGCCTTCAATATGGCTACACCTCATTGTAAAGAACCCAAAATCCTCACAACGGAACCAATAAATGTTGCTGTTGTTAAGTGCCATCGAATATGTTGTGACTCATCGTGACCCTGTAGAGGGTTTCTGAGGAGCAGCTGGTTAGTTTCAACCTCCTGGACCAATAAATAGCATCATGATAAACAGAGAAAAGATTGAAGTTGTCCAAGACTTCATTTTGCTTGGCTCTGCAATCAACACTCATGGAAGCAGCAGTACAGAAATAAGAAATTGTATTGCACGAGACAAATCTGCTGCAAAAGGCCTCTTTAAAGTGTTCAAGAGCAAAGATGCCTTTGATCGGAATGTGAAACTTGTACAATGAATAAGGAAGACCGTAAAAGGATTGGTGCATTTGAATTATGGTATTGGAGAAAAATATTGAAATTATTATGTACTGCCAGAAGAACAAACAAATTTGTCTTGGAAGAAGTACAGCCACAATGCTCCTTAGAAGCCAGGATAGTGAGACTTCATTTCTTATACTTTAGACATGTTGTCAGGAGGCACTTGTCCCTGGAAAAGGACAACATGCTTGGCAGAGTAGAGGATCAGCAAGAAAAGACGAAGGCCCCCCAACGAGATGAACTGACACAGAGGCAGCAACAATGGGCTGAAACAGAGCAACAATTGTGAAGTTGGTGCAGTGTTTCACTTTGTTGTTCATAGGGTTACTGTGACTCGGAGCCAGTTCTTGGTACCTAACAATATGTCATTTGGACAGGTTGATTCCCTCACCATTTGTACTTTTTTTCTTTCTTTTATTATATTTTTAGGTATGGAGCCCTGATGTGGTGCTGTGGGCTAATGCATGCGACTACAAAGTCGTTTGAACTACAAGGTCAATGGTTCAAGCTCACCAGCTGCTCATTGGAAACCCTATACAGGGTCGCTGTGGGTCAGAATTGACTCGACAGCACTTAACTAACATACCTCAGAGATATTGTGGGTTTCATTCCAGACCACCACAGTGAAGTGAATATTGCAGTCAAGGGAGCCATCAAGTTTTTTGGTTTCCCAGTGCAAATAAAAGTTATATTTACACTATACTGTGGTCTATGAAGTGTACAATAGCATTAGGAAAAAGTTTGAAATAGTGTGAGAATTACCAGACGTGACACAGAGATACAAAGTGAGCACATGCTGTTAAGAAAATGGCCCTGTTGAGACTTACTCAACACAAGATTACCACAAACCTTTTATATGTGCAAATTGCAATATATGCAAACCAAAGTTAAACAAAATGCAATAAAAGGAAGTATGCCTGTCTAATCTCTAAAACATAAGGAGCCTTTTCTTTCAAAGCTTAAACCATAATGCCATTATCACACTTCAACAATTATATGCAATTTCTTAATACCATCAAATATCCAGGCAATGTTAAAAACTCAGCTCATAAATGTCAGGGTTTTTTTAAGTTGGTTTGAATTAAGATCTAAATAAGATTTATATAATACGTTTGTTGTTGTTGTTAAGTGTTGTTGAATCGGTTCCGACTCATAGAAACCCTGTATAGGATTTCCAGGAGCGCTAGTGGGTTTGAACTACCAGCATTGAGGTTAGCAGTCCAGTGCTGATCCTACAGCGCCACACCAGGACTCCTAACAAACGTGTTTAATTGATATTTAAATGTTTACATCTGTCTCTCTCCATCTTCTCCTCACTTGGTGGACTGTGTCATTATCCAGCATTCACAGTAATAAACATCTGTGATCTGACTGTGCTGTGCATTAACAACGTCTGGCAACAATGAACTTTCATTTCAGTGACTATGATAGTTAAAAGTTTATGAGTCATTGGCTGGCCCATGATTCCAGGGGTTCAGCAGTTGTGCAATGGTATAGTTATCCTCCATTTTGTGATCTGATGTGGTCATTCTCCATTTTTGCATAAAACTGATTTTCAAATAAAATAAAATACAACTAACCATATTGACAAATGGAAGAGTGGGTGTGTTTTGTTCCTTGCAGTGTACCTGTTGAAGATACCAGGTTATGTACTGTAGCGTTTCTGAGAAGCTGTGTTTGCGTCTCTTGGTATAGATGAACATGTTCTTTTGTCTCCTGTAATTAGGAGTTGGTCAGAGAGGGCAATTAATTCACGCTCAATTCTTTCAGAAGATTACTTCATAGGTGGTTTGTGTATAGAACCACATGATGTCAGAATGCCTCTTTATGATATTATCAGTCACTGATAATCATTGCTTCAATCAGTCGACTCACTGTTGTTATTGTGTGCTGATTCCAACTCACAGAGACCCTATAGGACACAGTAGAACTCCCCAGACGGGTTCTAAGGCTTTAATCTTTATGGAAGCAGCCTGTTTCTTCTGCAGTGCAGCTGATGGGTTCGGATGCTTAACCACTGCACCACTAGTTGTTGTCTGGTGCCAGTGACTCGGTACCGACTCTTAGCGACCGTATGCGCAGCAGAACAAGCACCACCAGAGATCCTTATTATTATTAAATCACTGAGGTTGTAAAAGGGTAGTTATGTTATAGCCTAGTTCTCTATTGATAGACAGTTGTGTCTGATCTTTTCCTATTAGAAATAATGTTGTAATAAACAGCTTGTACACACGTCTTAATATATTTTTACCAGTAAACTATTAGAATAGTTCCTAGAAGTGGAATTGCAGAGTCAAAGGATAAATGTATATGTACTTACTTTCTTAAAAACGTAATAGCTTTAGGCAGGAAGCCTACCTTAAGTTCTGTGACCTAGGTGTTTGGGGGTTATTGTCTTCCTCTTTTCCTTATTTGCTATGTTCTGTTCTTTAACAGAGTTAGATTTTACTTTTTCTTTTCTGGTGCCCATCGCTTTGAGTACGGGGAAGGGGTCTGCTGTGTGGCACAGCCCAGGTGTGGAGGGGGGAAGCCTGGTGCTGGGGGCTTTATGAGCACACGGACTCACTGTCAACAGCAGGCAGCCTCTGGAGTGTGGTCACCTGAAGGAGATGTGACATTGGAGCTTGGCCAGATCACAGAGGAGTCCTGGAGTAAAGGAGGAAACCTCCTTAGGTGACATGGTTGTTGGCAGAGGAGGAGGAAATGACTGCAATTGAATAAGCCACTCATGTGGCAGGTTTGAGGCAGGGAGAGGTGGGAAGGCCAGACATGGGCGGGGCATCTAATAGTGGATAGTCTTGGGCCTTGTTGTCACTGGCCACATGGCCATGTCCAGGTCACTGCCTTTTCTCTCTCCACCTGCCTCTGGAGAGAATAAGAGGGGGTCAGGGGTGACCTCTGATGGGTTTGGTTCTGGTGTTCTGGGCCTTGAGGGCTGATGTGGCCTAGGGAGTGGTTGTGAGCCTCAGACTATGGTGTGTTCCAGGGAGTAATCAGAGTCCACCTGCTGGAGGCGGAGAACCTGGCCCAGAAGGATAACTTCCTGGGGATTCGAGGCAAGTCAGACCCCTACGCCAAGGTGAGCATTGGCTTGCAGCATTTCCGGAGCAGGACCATCTACAAGAACCTGAACCCCACTTGGAATGAGATGTTTGAGGTGAGCCTCCTCAGCTTCCTTTGGCTGCCCTGGGTTGTGCTGGGCACACAGACAAGGCAAGGCCTGGCCCTCGGAGCCCGTATGTGTCCATGGGGGCAACACTAGATCAGCGATGGGGCTGCTCTGGCCTCACTGGAGAGCTAGCCTGTAGGCGATTCCTACCTTTCTTCTCCACCAGAGTCAGATTCATTGAACGTATGGTTTAAAATCAAAGGAGAGAACCTTGGAACACAGTTCTGCTCCGGTCCTCTCAGCCTCCCTGCCAGAACCACACACCAGGTCTCTTCCAAAGGCCAACCCCTCTCCTTAGTACTTGAAAGGTGGGACCCACAACCTGTTAAAACCGAAAAGGGGTACTTCTCGTTGATGCCGTGCCCTCCCCTCACAGGATACCACCTGGAAGCTCCACTATTGGGGTGTGGCAGTGAAAGCAGAGTGCCCCAGACCCATGGGCCCAGGAGGATTGGCTGGGAAAGCCCCATGGGGGAAATAGTAGCTACTGTCCCTTGAGCACCCATGGGCTTGCACTTGCCACCAGTCCTCCTCACTGCCCCCAGGGAAGGGCACCACTCCCCCTTTATAGGTAGAGCTCTGTCCATGGGCTCCCAGCTGTTGGGTGGCAGGGACAGGGCTTGCCTCCCCTTGGCTACATGTGAGGTCTGCTCATCAGCCGTGTAGCCCGCAGGTGAAGACACCTCTCTTTCTCGGCAGCTCATAGTGTATGAAGTTCCTGGGCAGGACCTGGAGGTGGACCTGTACGATGAGGACACTGACAGGGATGACTTCCTGGGCAGGTGAGGACAGGGCAGAGCTGGACCTGGGACAGCCTGCCTTCTCTGGGACCTGCAGCCTTCTCTGGTCACTCTTATGTTTTTGCATGTTTTATTGTATTTTAGGTGAAAATGTACACAGCAAATTAGGCTCCCATTTAACAGTTTACACACAAATTGTTCAATGATATTGGTTGCATTCTTCACAAGTCTGAGCATTCTCATTTTTTCCATTCAGATTGTTTCATCTCCAGGAATCTAGTTTCCCAGTGCCATTGCTTCTCATCTTTGCTTTAGAGTAATTGTTAATGGCTTGGTCTCATATAGATGATTTTTTAAAAAAAAGAAGCGCAGTGCTCATGGGTGATAATCTTTATTTTATGAGACAGTGAGACAATCTATTATTTAGCTAAAAGGTGACCATAGGGAATAATTTTGGCTCATGGTTTAAATATCTCAGAGCGATAATCTTGGGAGTCCTCTAGCCTTGACTAGTTTGATTAAGAATTTAAGTTCTGTTCCATGTTTTTGTCCTATTCTATCAGGATCCATCTAATGTGGACCTAGTCAGAATCTAGTCACTCTTAGCATGGTGAATAAGTCAGGCAATTAGCCCACCTTTCCACAGACCTGTCACATACCTCCTCAGATGCCTCCAGAGTGCCCCAGCCCTGAATCCTGGGGTTCTGCTTTCTACCCTCCTGAGAGGGCACCTGCAGTTTCCATCTGCAGCAAGCCTAGCATGGATGGCAAGGTGCCCAGTGCCAAGAGCCAATTCATGCTGGGTCGGAAAACAGGACCTCAGGGCTGTGGACACCTGGAATGGTGGAGGTGGACAGATAATAAAATGTCAAATTTACACATCTTTTGGTCCAGCAGTCCCAATTCCAGGACCTTCTGTAAAAGGTACCAGGGTACCTGAAATGTTTAAAGTGTCTTTGGAGGCAAAACTCTGGAGATAGGAATTTCCAACCTCAGGGAGAACTGGTTGAAAGTTTGAATAAATGGGTCATTGCCAAACTCCAGAGTATTCTGCAGCTATTAAAGCTGATGAGTAAGACCTATGTGTGCTGACCTCAGGACATCCATGATGTATTCATATGAGGGGGAACACAGCTGTGGAGTAACCTATAGTTGGATTGCATTTTCAAGGGGAGGAGCCCTGGCAGATGTCTGTCTGTCTGTGTGCAGGCAGACAGCACCAGACTCTTGAAACTGCACGGCTCAGGGGCTGGGGTGAGGTAGACACAAAACAAAATGGGAAAAGGTGCAGAAACAGCTCACCACCGGACGTTTTCATCTTTCAAAATTTTTGTCTTAATGAAGAAACTTGTACTTTTTATAATGCTGCAGAATAGAAATGTGGCTTTGATTCATGTTTTGTTTAGCTGTTTTCAGGTGGGTTTTGAGTTCAAGCACATATTCTAACAGTTCTACAGAATTACATTTGCCATCTGGTCTGAGTCTTACCTCTTCCCACACAGGTGCCAACTACACTTATCTCTGGGAGGACATGTGGGGCAGTTTTGGAAATGGAGGGGGCATTTGGGGTTGTCACAGTGACTGGGGGATGTGGTGCCATGGGCATTGAGAGGGCATAGAAATGGGAAGCTTAATCCCTATGATGCACAGACAGCCCTATAAAAGAAAGAATCCTCCACCCAAAATGCCAGTAGCCCCATTCATTGAGAAATCGAGTCAGTGTGGCCAGCAACTTCTATTTGTCCTATCTGGGGACTGGGGCTGCCTGTCCTTTGAGCCTTAAGGTTAGAGAGTCCTGCCTTCACTCAAGTTGAAGTTGGTTTCCAATGATTTCTTGGGGCTTTGATGAATAAGATCCTCTGTCTTAGTTGAGACTTGATTCCAGGGTGGGCCCTTGCATCCTCTATATCTTGCCATCTCCAAGCTGAGAGCCCCTCCCTGTGTCTTCCAGCCTGCAGATCTGCCTTGGCGATGTCATGACCAACAGAGTGGTAGACGAGGTAGAGTTGGTGCCTGGGACCCGGGGTTTAGTGCAGTGCCCCTCCCCGTGGACGAGGCCCTTCTCTACTGGGCAGCCTGCATGCTCAGGGGAAGAGCTGGGTGAGACACAGAAGGATCTTTCCTGGAAGTTCCCACAGCATGAGGACCCCCAGCTGGGAACAGTCACATATTAAGGGCAGGCTGGGCTTGGCAGGAGGGTTTTTTTCATCCCAAAGTGTAGTACTTTTGTCCTTGTCCAGCCACATCTTCCCTGTCCCTCTGTGTTCAGGGTCCACACTCTTGTGAGCTGGTTTGCCTTTTCTCATCACTATCAGGCCTTCACTGGATTGTAGGGCTGATTGGCAATTTAGGAAAAGGGTCAGTAGCATCTTCCTGCCCCTTGCCCCCTCCCTTCCCTGCAGTGGTTTGTCCTGAACAACACAACCAGCGGACGGCTGCACCTTCGGCTTGAGTGGCTTTCACTGACCACTGACCAGGAAGCCCTGGCTGAAGTGAGTGTGGTGAGTCAGGGGCCCCTGAGCAGAAAAGTGATGTGAGGGAGTAAGGGCACATGAGGTGGGATGGTCAGAGTGCTTAAGGGCAAGGAGTGAATTGAAGCCCTACCTTCTGGAGAACCTGCCATCCTGGCCCGTCTCCACACAGAGCAGCTCCTGACCCATCTCAGCCATCTCCAGGGAAGCTGGATGGGGTCCTTAGAGTTCTGTGTTATTGCCTGTCAGCCCAGTTCATGTGGAAAGTCCACCTTTGTGTCTAGCTTGAATCTGCCATGCTGTAGTTGTGTTCTCAGCCTCGACAGAAAGCTAGACTGTGAGAGATCTTATGATTAGTCTGGAGTACAAGGGCTGGCTGGCTCCCTTCTGCCACAGGGGCTTTTCCAAAACCAGCTTGTCTCCCTACTGCCATCTGCAGGACCCTGGTGGCCCCCCAACTGCTGCTCTCTCCACTGCCATCCTCGTGGTCTTCCTGGAGAGTGCCTGCAACCTGCCGGTGAGTGGCAACACAAGTAGTGTGTCGCCCTGGAAGCACCACCTGTCCTGCTCACTTACCTCATTGTTCTTCTGCACAGAGAAGCCCTTTTGACTACCTGAATGGTGAATATCGAGCCAAAAAACTCTCCAGGTTTGCCAAGGTATGTGTGCATGTGTATGTGTGTGTGTGTGTGTGAGAGAGAGAGAGAGAGAGACAGAGAGAGAGAGACACTGAAGACTGGTGTGCGGGCAGGTCACAGCTCCATCTCCAGCCATGGTCCGTATGCACAGAGTCTGGGATAGCAAACCTACCTGCTGTTCCGTAGCTGCATGTGCTCGGCACAGGGCTTGGAAACTCATCCCTCACATTCATTATCCCTGAACCCTCTGATGACTGTTATGTGCAGTTTTTATTGACATTTTACAAGCAGGATGTAGAAGGTTATGTGCCTAAATCACAGAGCCAAGAGGAGGAGCCAGAACTGGACTCGACCATGATTCCATGGCTCATGTTCTGGGCCCCAGTCTGGGGAGCACCAAGGCTGCTTTCTGTCAGTGGGAAGCAATCTGCTCCTAGGGGATGAAGGTGTCTCAAGCTGACATCAACAGTGCCACCATTGTGGATGTTTCCATTCACAGAATAAAGTCAGCAGAGACCCTTCTTCCTATGTCAGGCTGTCTGTCGGCAAGAAGACCCACATGAGCAAGGTAAGACAGCTGTGGAGTGTGGCCTTGGGGTAAGGAGATGGAAGGAAATAGAAGTCTCTAGGATGGGTCTTGATCACTGATAACTGACCGAGTGGAAAGAGAGGATGGACAAAAGCAATGGTTGAGAGAAGCAACAGGGAAGGGAACTGGCTTGTATTGAACACCTGTCAGTGCTGGGACACATTCTAGGCGCTTTGTATTTATTTCTCACAGCAATATCACAAGTATCTGAGGATCAGAGACTTAAAGTGACTTGCTCAAGGTCACATGCTAAAATGCAGCAGAACTAGGGCTGTAGCCCAGACCTGGCTCTAAAGGCCCTATGTTTCCCAGCACACCATGACAGTTCAGTCCAGCAGCAGAAATCCTTCTGGGCTTCTCCCTGAGTGAATTCTAATGCTAGTGTCATTTTCAGCCCCTGTAACGTTACCTAGCAAAGTACTCCTCACCTTCAGTCTGGCTGTGTTTCCCCTACTGCTTCCCACTGGTAGTAACCTGTGTGGGTCTGGTCCCTGGGAAGACACAGAAAGCTCCCCGTGGTACCTGGTGGCCAGAGTGAGAGCAGAGGTGCTGGGATCCAACTCTTCCCAACCTGATCCTTCAATTATTTCTCCCTCCTCTGTCCCCAGACGTGTCACCACAGCAAGGACCCCGTGTGGGGCCAAGTGTTCTCCTTCTTTGTGTACAACGTGGCAGCTGAGCAGCTACATCTAAAGGTTTGCTTGTAGTTGGGCTCTCAGAATAGCGTTTTAGGAGAGGATGGGAGCTTGAGGCACACCTTCAGCAGGTTCTGGGTGCGGTTCTTAATGCCAGCCACTGCATGCAGGAGGGGATAGCGAGGCCTCACAAGGCCTCATCTTGAGTCTGCTGTAAAATGTTTCTGGTGAGGAGGCTGGGGAAGGCCATACCCTCAAGCCCCTTGACATTCCTTGCAAAAGGGCCTTCTAGTTGTTACAGAACACCCAGTGTGGCCTGTTAGAATTTGGACAGTGATCATTCTTTTAAAAAAATTCATTTGATCCTCACAAAATATCTATGGAAAAGAAATACTATCTTGTCTATTTTACACATGAACAAACAGAGGCCAAACAATGACTTGTCCAACATCTCATGACTTACCAGCGGTGGAGCTGGGACCTTTTGAGGGCTTCTTCATGCCCTCTGTTTTGGGGGCAGAGTCCTGTCTGGATAATCCATCATGGCGCAGCACACCTCATCTGTCCCTAAAGCCCCCACGGTCCTGAACATTTGACATGGCAGCCTCATGAAGATCATAATCGACTCTACTCTGAGTCACTCTCCTCCTCTGAGTGAAGGCAGGCACCACGCCTGACCAGATTCAGTTCTCTAGTCTCAATTCCCAGAACAGATCTGAGGCCAACAGCTAGCCGCATACTTACTGAAGTGAACCCAAAGTCAACTGGGGCTCGTAATAGGGGGTGGTCAGGTTGAAGTTTGGTTCTCCTCTTGTTCTATGACTGGCCCACCACATAGGTGCTTGATGACGACCAGGAGTGTGCCCTCGGAGTGCTGGAATTTGCCCTGTGCCAGCTCCTGTCCTGTGCAGACCTCACCCTTGAGCAGCGTTTTCAGCTGGACCACTCAGGCCTGGACAGCCTCATCTCCATGAGGCTGGTGCTGCGGGTAAATCTCCCTCAACCCCAGGACAGGGAAGTAGAGCTCTGGGGCAGAGAACTCATGGGCAGAAAAAAGTCAGGAGAAGAAGGATTAATATTTTTCATTAATAATAGAAAACTGCCAACCGTTATCTCTTCAAAGATTGACTTTCTCCCATCATCTTCAATCCTTCTTTCTTGAACTCTTTCTATGCTGGACTCTTTCTATCCTCCATCCTCAATGTTTCTTGAGCTGACCTTCATATTTCCTATTTTATCTCATGGGGTTAACCTTCTGACTCACTTCCTCAGCTCTATCTTCCAAATCACTAATTCTTCATTTGACTATGTCATGCTGTCAGATAAGCATGGGACCACAAGGTCAGTTTTAATCATAAGATTGGCAATTGAGACTCACCAGCCACTCCTCAGAAACATACAGCGTCACTATGGGTCAGAACCAACTTGATGGCACTTAACAACAACAATCTATTGTTGGAGTCCCAGTGTGGGCTGTAGGATAAGCACTGGACTGCTAACCACAAGGTTGGTGGTTCAAACCCATCGACAGCATTTAACAACAATCCAGGTTTAGGACCAGTGGTGGTGGATATGCTGACCACAGTGTCAGCAGTTCACACCCACTAGCCACTTCTTGGAAAAAAGAAGAGGGTGTCTGCTCCTGTAAAAACGTAGAGTCTTGGCGACCATATATAGGGTTGCTATGAGGTGATGTGACTCAATGGTAGTAAGTGTTTTGGTTAGGGTTAGGGTTGAATCTACTTCACCTGCTTGTGGGTTTTAATTTCAACGACTGTTCACCATTTCTAATATTATCTTTTCCAAATCCATATTTTTTATAGCATTTTTTAATCTTCTCATCTTTCTAACCCATCTTTAATCACTTGAAAATACTTATAATTTGTTGTTGTTAAGTGCCATCAAGTCAGTTCTGACCCATAGCGACCCTGTAGAGGGTTTCCAAGGAGTGACTGGTGACCTTGAACCACCAACCTTGCAGTTCAAACCGACTTTGCAGTCTAGCGAATTAACCCACAGTGCCACACCAGGACTCCTATATTTTATAACATACACATGTATTAATTCTGTTTGAAGATCTTAGGACATTGCACTTAAATGTTTGTTGTCTATTAGTCATGGTAACTCATTTATATATATATATATATATAACTTGGGGTGTCATGACCTGGATGGAAGTTGCTCTCTTCCAGTGTGGTTCTGTGTTGGTGCTGGCCAAGCACACCAGGGACATTACAAACTTGGGTCCATTTTTATGAACAGGCTAAGGTCGACCCATCTTGTCATCTATCTTTGCTGGTGTGTGAAAATTTGATTTCTGTAATACCTTGTCACTAAAGATATAACCCTTCTTCTTGGACATCATTTCCACAGCCCAGCCTCACATGAGTCGAAGGATTTGTCTCTTGTTTCTGCAAGATCCATAAAACTCTAACCCATTGAATACCCAAATAGATATTGATCCAGAAAAGCTCGACCTTTAATCTTTATATTTTTCAGTTTGTTTTTTTGTCTCTCTTAGCCACAGACGGCTTCCATACTTTCTTGTGAATTTGGCTATTCATTTCAAAGGGTATTTGTTTCATATTATTTGACATTCCTAACGAGGTTTTCCAGAAATTTTTGACTTGCATATTGCAGAAAATGAAAGTATCTAGGATGGGTCTTAAGAAACTGATAACTGAGGGAAAAAGAGGATGGGGGAGGGTGGGGTACAGATAATGGCTGAGGTCTCTGGGGAGAGCACTGGAACGAATGAGGTAACAGCTTGAAACAGCCCTTCCCAGAAGGCGGCGGCTGGTTGATAGATGTCCACATTAGGGTGCGGGCAGGGCAGAGGGTAGATCTGGGAGCTCATGTTGTTAGAGTAGACCAGAGCTCTAGCAGCCCGTGGGGGTACAAAGAGAGAAGGGAGCCCAGGACTGAGTCTGAGTGAACACTCACTAGTGAGGCAGGAGGCAAAAGACAAAGACGCATTGGTCAGAGGGTGGTCAGGAGACAGAGGTCAACGAGGATACAGTTCAATGTGAAAAAAAATCCATTGAACTTGTCGTTGACTTTTGAGGAAACTTTTCCAGTAAAGAGAAGGGGAAACTAGGTGAAAATAGAAGGGGAGGAAGAGGAAGTGGTAGGCTTGGCCCATAAGCAACCGTGTCATCTGCTTGCAGTTCCTGCGCGTGGAGGAACGAGAGCTGGGGAGTCCATACACAGGACCTGAAGCCCTAAAGAAAGGCCCTCTGCTTATCAAGAAGGTGGCCACCAACCAGGGCCCTAAAGCCCCACCCCAGGGAGAGGGCCCTGAAGATGTGCCATTTCCCCCAGATCCTGCTTCTGACACCAAGGAGACCTCCAAGAGCACCATACCCCCCACCAGTGCCCCCACTGCTGCCCCCGAGGCCATACCCCAAGAGACAGGCCTAAAGCCCAAAGGCAAGGACAGTGCCAAGGGGTTTTGTGAGCCAATAGGAGAGAAGAAGAGTTCGGCTACCATCTTCTTGACTGTCCCAGGCCCTCACTCTCCAGGGCCCATCAAGTCTCCCAGACCCATGAAACGTCCTTCCTCCCCGTTCATATGGCCGCCCAAGGGGCTGGCTCCCAGCATGTCCTCACTCAACTCCCTGGCCTCCTCCTGCTTTGACCTGACAGATTTCAGCCTCAACATTGAGTATGCACCTCTCTGCTTAATCTCTTCTAAAATCATCTGCATGAAACTCTCCTCCCTGACTGAAAAAGTAGACACGGTCTCACACTTATGTGGAAGTTCTTATTAAGTCTCTCTTAATAAGGAGGCATTATGGTGTGATAGAAGACACCACAGGGAGAGTCTGGTTTTAGCTGTAGCTTTAGACTCACTGTAAAACAGGATATTGGTTTTAAGGTTCCTCCCTTCCAGCACAAACATTTCTTGGCTTCTCAATAGTTATACTGGGATGATAATGGAAGGCTTAGAATGTGGAATTACATAATTAATGGCTATCATTTATAATGTTTACTATGGGGTCAGTGTTACTTTATTCAGTCTTCACATTAACTGTATGAGAGAGAACTTACTATTAGAAAGGTTCTACCCGGAGTCAGGAAACAATGGCAAATCCCACTTCAATGTTCATAGTCTTCCTAAATGGAACTGCATTCATATCAGCCCAGGACAGAGAACCAACACATTCACCAGAACACACAATTCTTTCTGACTCCAGCCAGCTATGCTTGAAGACCATGCATCTGTGGAATGCATTTTGCTTTTCATATGTTGTGAGCATATTATATATAATATTTAGGAATGGGTTAAATTGATGGGCATCCAGAATTCTCTCAATTTTCTGATCACTTCAGATAATAGAAAATTTTAGTGATTAAGGAGATCAGAATTAGAGTCCTGAAATTTGACCAACCCCTTCAACACTGTCTCCCCACCAGAATATGCACTTTTAAGCCATTTTAAATGTTATGTAACTTACGTTCTTCCAAACTTGAGCAATCAAATACTTTCTACTGATTAGCTTTTAATTTCTAGGGCTTTATTTTGTCCAATATTTTATTATGGAAATATCCAAGCACTGAGTATTGAAAACATACATATCCCTTCCACCCAGATTCAACAATTATTTACATTGCCCTTTCCACACAGTTGGTGTTCAAACTCACCAACCTCTCCGCAGGAGACAGATGAGGCTTTCTGCTCTTGTAAAGATTTACAGCCTCGAAAACACTGTACCAGGGTCTCTATGAGCTAGAATCAACTCTATAGCAGGGGGGTTGATTTTTGGTTTCTATCTGCATTATAAATATCTATGTGCATAAACATATTTCTTGCTGAACCATTTCAAAGTAAGTTACAGATATGACCCATTAAAACCCCATTGTCTTAAAAAATATGTATCCTACTTATCACTGACATCACACCTAAGAAAGTTTACAAAAGTATTCTAGGATTTTTCATGTCTTCATTTAGATCCCAGGATCCCACACAACTTTTCTAGTCTGCCTTCAGCCCAGAAGGATAATTACAAAAACTTGCTGGATGGAATGGACTTCCTCCTAGAAGTAATCTTACTGAGATTTTATGTGTTCACATGGCTCTATGTTCTTAAAGCAAGACCTATTTCTTTCTGGGGGAGTGAGGAGGACAGCAATGCTTGCAATGACAAGAGAAGTGACAAGTCCTTTCCTTACAGAGGCGAGGATCTAAGGCGTCAGCGGCTGGGTGAGATTCAACTCACAGTGCGCTATGTGTGTCTGCGGCGCTGCCTCAGTGTCCTAATCAATGGCTGCAGGTAAGGGATTCTGGGGCCAGGAGGTCTTCCAGGAGCAACAGGTGTGGCTAGAAATCAGAGCAGAGGCGCTTGGATCAAGGGCAGGGTCACGAACTCCCACAGGGAGCTAGGTAACACACTGGGAGAGATGGAATTTGAAGGCTGGTATGGTATGAGGGACAAGTCCTCAGAGGAACACTTTTGTGGTCATAGTCCACTAGTGTTGGTGGGCTCGAGTCAGGAGCTCTGGTCAGACACAACCGTTGCAAAACTGTCTGCTGGTCATTAGTACCTTTCCTCAAGTACGCCCCTGGATGGAAGTACTTGCTCAACCTTACACTTTACAGAAAGACATTTTTAGAATCATGAATTTGATATGTTGTCCTCTAAATCGTGCAGACATTGACTTACTTTTTGGTCATCAAGACTATAAGGCATTTTATCCTCAAACTCATCTAAAGCCAAATGGCTAATATAGCTTTCTCACAAATTACTATTTTCAGAGTGTCACAAACCCAGGGTCCTTTTATCTTTAATGTCTTTGAAACCAAATTAGAAACCTGACACCCTGTACCATCAGTGGAGCTGATCCCTACGTCCGTGTGTACTTGTTGCCAGAAAGGAGGTGGGCAAGTCGGAAGAAGACCTCAGTGAAGAGGAAGACCCTGGAGCCCCTGTTTGATGAGACGTAAGTGGGTCAGTTGGCCACTTAAGAGTGCTTCATTCATGAGTATTTGCAGAGGTGCCTACCAGCCCGCTAGACGCTGAGGGACTAGGGCTGAATAGGAACACATGGTCTCTTCCTCTTTGAAGCTTCTATATTTCGTTGTTAAGTGCTGTTGAGTCAGTTCTGACTCATAGCAACCCTGTATAGGGTTTCCAAGGAGCAGTTGGTGGGTTTGAACTGCCAACCTTGCAGTTAATAGTCCATTGCTTATCTTACAGTTCTGTGCTTTAGTGGGTAAAAAGTGTTGCCTACGCAGTTTATCAAAATGGTTAGCCACCTTTTATGCCCATAGGGTTAAAGCACTCCAAGTGGAGCAGCCCATCCTTTTTCTCTTAAACTGAAATCTCTTTGAGAGAAAACGGATATGTTGTTGTGTGCTGCCAAGTTGGTTCTGCCTTAAAGCAACCCTGTATAGGATTTCCCAGAGTGCCTGGTGAGTTTGAACTGCCAACCTAGTGGTTACCAGTTCAGTGTTTACCCTACAGCTCCACACCTGGGCTTGTAAAAGTTTGGTCATGTTTCCTTCGAATCAGTTGTAATGTCAGCAGTAAAAAATAAACATTCTTTGAAGCTTGTTGCTGTTAAATGCTGTCGAGTAGTTCCCCAGTCATAGCAACCCTGTGTAGGGTTTCCAAGGAGCAGCTGGTGGGTTTGAACTGCTGACCTTGTGGTTCAAAGTCCAGTGGTTATCCTATAGCACCACACCACGAGTCCTATTTGAACCTAAGGATCTACAATTTCTCAACTCCGTGCTCTTTGCTATGACTTCCTCACTGCCATAAAGTACAGACATCCTTCCCTTTCCACAAAGCCTCATCCACTCATGTCCTCGGGAACAAAAGTGGTAGATAAGAGTGTCTCTAATCAGTTTCTGCCTCTGAAGACAGCCAGAGATGGCAAGTCTTAACTCAAATGTTTTTATTCTTGATTTCACTTTGACTCCATCCATGACTAATCCTCAAGGTGCAGAAGTCAGAATCTCATCATTGCTTCTTCCTGCTCCAGAGTCCTAAGAGAAGACTTAGCCAGTCTAAGATACTGTGCCTGATCATTCTGGTTTCCTCGTATCCTAATCTTTACTATTCACTTGTAAAGGGCTGTTCTGAGTCCCTTTGGGCCATGCCTAAGAACTAATGTGTTCCTTCAAGAGCTATACTATGAGTTCATCCATGTCAAGGGTATGAGGAAAAGAAAATTTATTAATTGAACATTTACTGGACACTTGGTGTCAGGCACGATCCTAATTCTAGAGCCACACAAGGGATCTTGTCTTTAAAGACAGCTCTGACAAAATTACAAACACATGTTGAAATTATTATGTGGGATCACAGAAGCCTGACCTTCGACTTCTGAGACAAACCTAATCTGTTAGTAATTAATTCTCTTTCAGATTTTTAAAGGGATATTAGTATAAGTTTCGTTCTGTTGTACATAGGGTCCCTATGAGTTGGTACCAACTCAGTGCACCTAACAACAATAATAACATTAGTACAAGTGCCTAGGTTATCTGATGGATAACCTTTGGGCTTTGGGCAACTCTCCCACCCCCCAAAACATACATATTTACACACACACTAAAAATAAAAGTAAAAATAAAGTAAGGGGTTCAAAAGCTTGTGAGTATATGACAAAGTACATACACAAAGATTTCTCTGCTTTATTCCGTAGAAGCAGGTTGGTATTTTCTATGTAATTCTAGTACACCTAACAACTGTTCTGCATCCTAGCCGTCAGCTGATCAGGAAAAACCAAACTAAAACAACTTAGGAGGACCTGCTCAAAGGCTGAGGCGGGCCTATGAGCAGGTACTTTTTTTTCTTTTTATTATGAATTGGGCTAAGGTTTAACATTCAACAATGTAACATTCAACAATTCATACACATTTTGTTTCATCTCGATGATTACAATCCCCTCAATGTAACATCACTTATTCCACTTTCTCCCTGTTTCTTGTTTCTGTTCCTCCTCCTTTCCTAATCTTTCTGAACCCTGTCCTTAGGTAAATGCTGCCCTTTTGATCTTAAATGGTTGATGATTCTAAAGTGTACATACCTCACTAGTGTGAGTGTTCCCTTATAGACTTGTCTATTGTTTAGCTGAAAATTGAACCATGAGTGTGAACTCAGTTCTCCTTTGAGAACAGAGGACAGCAGTCATCTGTATGTAGCAGTATAATTGAGTACCTGTTGGAGGTGCTCCTCTCAACAATCTGCACCTTCTGTTTCAAAAGGAAATGAATGAAACACTCTCAGTTTTCAACAGAAATGCTTGAAATATGTAAATCTCATTTCCTGACTTTTTGTTTCTTAAAGATTTGAATTCTTTGTTCCTATGGAAGAGGTAAAGAAGAGGTCACTAGATGTTGCAGTAAAAAATAGTAGGCCACTTGGCTCACACAGAAGAAAGGAGCTAGGCAAAGTAAGTCCCGGAGGGGCTCTTGGTACTAACTGAGTTCACTGGTGGAGCAGGTACAAGGGCAACATAGTGTCCCTCACAGGTGGGAAGGCTCTGAATTCCAGGAGGGTAGAGTTTCATTGGGAGAGTTTTTTTGTTTTGTTTTGCTTTGCTTTGTTTTTATTCTTTAAACTAATGAAAGAATATAAAGGCATAGGTTGATATGATAAACCTTATTTTAACATTTAACAAACTCTAGAATCTATTCAAATTCATTCATTCCACAAGTATTTGAAGATTTATTATGACATTAAATCTTATTTTGATTAATCTGGCATTGTGTGAAGCTTGGATATCTTATTACAAGATTTTTGTAGTGATGGAATTTTATCTAAGGTAGAACTTGTTAAGTGCCGTCAAGTTGGTTCTGAGTCATAGTGACCCTGTATAGGGTTTCCAAGGAGCAACTGATAGGTTTGAACCACCAACTGCCTTTTAGTCAAATTGACCTTGCGGTCTAGGCATTATCCTGCAGTGCCACACCATTACTCCTAAGTAGAACTCGAGGAAATATAATCCCCAGGGAGATGCCAAGAAGAGGCCAAAGAATGGTATTGGAACAATAGCCTGTAGTCACTCACTATAGTTTAACAGTCCTGGTGTGGTGCTGTGGGATAATGCACTGGACTGCAAAGTCACTTTGAACTGCAATGTCGGCAGTTCAAGCTCACCAGCTGCTCCTCAGAAACCCTATACAGGGTCATTTTGGGTCAGAATCGACTAGATAGCACTTAACTACAACATAGTTTAATAAGCACTTATTACTCATCTCTTTAAAACCTACTCTTATGAAGCAGGTGGGATTTCCCCTGTTTTACACGTAAGGCAACTGTGGCGTCTTGTTAAAAGTAGTAATCAGTTCATGATTAAGAGCAAGTTTCTCTTTCTATAACATTCATAAAGTCACAAAGCTTGAAAAGGGCAACAGTTCCTTTTGCTTACATTCCTGAAGCAATTCGCCTTTACCCAGACCACAGAGTTCAGTGCCTGTTCTGTCTTTCTGGGGGGATCTATGTTAAGAACCAAAGGAAAATGAGCCACTGCTCAAAATCCCTAAGTCCCAGGTTTTTCATCATCAATTCAGTTGATCTTAGTGGGTTTCTAATCAGTGCAGCTGTTTCAAGAACGGATTCTTTGTGTTGTTTAGGTACTGATTGACTTATCCAAAGAAGATTTGATTAGGGGCTTTTCACAATGGTAAGTGTGCCCTTTTTTTTTTTTAAGCTTTTATTGTGAATTGAGTAAAGGTTTACAGGGCAGATCATCAGTTTTACATTTAACATATTACAATGATTATAATCCCCTCCATGCACCAACCATCTCTGTTACCCCTTTTTTTGTTGTTGTTTAATGTACATATACTACACTGAAAATATATATTAGTGTAAATGTCCAGTGGGGTGCCCTTTCATTTTATTACTGTTAATCTAGATATTATCCTGGAGAGATGCCCATATTCTCTCTCCAAAGTTCTGCCCTTTTCAGTCATATCTCAGTTCCTTTGGTTTTCAAGGAAGGAGACAGATTTTTACCTAGTTAAGTCTTTAACTCATCCAGATCTTACTTCCCTAAACTCACTGCTGATGACTTCAAAGGGCAAAGTGGAAGTGCCCCATAGTTTCTGAGACTGTAAATCATTACAGAAGCAGATTGCCTTATTTTTCTCCTATAGGACAGCTGCTGGAGTCAAACAGCTGATCTTTTAGTTAGCAGTCCAATGCTTCACATGGGTTGTATATGGCATGTGGCAGACTGACATATAGAGAATGGCCCCTGCTGGTCCTACAGAGGCCTAGGCAGGCAAGCAGATAGAGCTCATCTAGTCCTGATGCCACCGCACACTCTCAGTACTAACACAGGTCCGAACCACCTGTCTTACAGGTATGAGCTGACTGCAGATGGACAGCCCAGAAGCTGATGACGAGACGAGCACCACTAGCACTTTCATTCCTTTATATTAACGTGTATATGTGTATAGTTTGTAATTTAAATCAGAGCAGTCATTGGAAACTATACACAGACTTCCTGTGTGAAATTTTACCCACTTCCAATGACTAGATAGTAGTATTAGGAAGAGGTGGACGTATAAAAGCAAATACTAATCTTTCTTGGTTGGATTTTATTGTTCAAATCCAGAAAGAAAAGGGATATTTGCACCTAGTCATTCATTATCAGAACCTCAGTAGTGACTTTACAGAGACAGACCATCTGATTCAGGACTGACGTGTATGTAGTAAGAAAGCCCTGTGTAGACATGGGGTAAGGGAGGATATCTGTTCCTAGAGGAGCTACCCATATTCCTGGGCAGTGACTGAAGAAGGGATGACGCCTCTTTTATGGGATTAAAATGTGGCCCACTCCCTAACTGCCTAGAGCTAACACTGCCAGAGGCCACTGACTGCCACCTTTGCTGCTTTCATGCCTGGAGACTTGTTCCCATATCTGATCTGGAACTAGACTGTACTTTCTCCACAACAACAGTGCTATAGGGACACACTTCAAGACCTCGTGTGTGAGATGGCCCCAGCATGCGACACTATTTCCACAAGAAAATGTAAGCTAAGTTCCAAAGCCAGGTCAACAAGTGTACTCCCACAACAGAACGCAGACCACTGCTGAAAAGTGGCTCCGCCAGACAGGAAACCACTTTTTGGATCTCTCTCAGACAGAAGTAGGAATTCTGTGTCACTTTCTAAGAGATGGCTGGCCCACAAACTATGTAAATTATGCATTTAAACAAGTGCTTTTTTTTGTATTTCAAACTTTATCAAACCAAATACACTGCTGGTCCCCTCTTACTTTCCTGAGCTGTCTGTGGGGTCATACCCCTGCCCCCCCGCTGCCACTCTGTTTCTACCACTGCCTTCACTGCTGCTGTTTTGAACAATGGCATTATCCTAAAGTAAAAATTTTGACATGGTATTCTCACTTATAAATCATCTAGGATTCTCATTTCTTGTAAGCACTCATTTACCTTTTAGACTTGACATACCCTGGCCTTTAGTTTTCTGCTACTTTATTCATGTGCAGACACTTAGTTCCAGAATGGTTAAACACTGCACACTGTGCTCACTCTGTAAAGGCTTATCTGAAACCAATCACCTGCAGTAAGTAAGTCCATGCTGAAATGGCTCCTCTCCACCAGTCACACAGTATTTAGCATCAATACTGTGCACTTTCTATTTTAATAATTCCTTACCTTGTAATAGTTCATTTCAAAGACATGTTTACTAGGCAGTTACTAAAGTCACCGTAAAAGAAAAACAGCTGCTCTGTTGTTTGGGCACTTAATGTTTGTGTTGACTCTCTAATTGAACTATAACTACCTGAATTGTTTCTTACCCCTACAATCCAAGACCTGTGCTAAGTACATGGCTGTTGCTGTTGTTATTAAGTACCATGGAGTCAGTTCTGACTCATCGTGACCCTGTATAGAGTTTCTGAGGCTGTAAATCTACACAGGAGCAGAAAGCCTCATCATTCTCCTACGGAACGGCTGGTAGTTTCGAACATAATAAAAATGGTTTCTGCTGGACTTTGTTTTGAATGACAAATCCTCTTCCAATAAATGGGGTAATTGATTTCTGTGCTTCCTACTGTACAATACACTGTGATGCTCACTATTAAATACAAAAGTGCTTTGAACATGGTAAAGGACCAGAGAAATTTAAGAAAATACCATGCTATCACATCCGGAATATTAGCAATGCTAATGCAAGTAAGTACTGATCAAGACGTGACAAAGCAGACAAGTAAAAACCCACCCACCCCTCAGAATGCCGCTGAATTGTACATGTAGGAACTGGTGATTTGGTGTATATTTTGCTATGTATATTCTCAACAACAACAAAGTAAATTATTTTTTTTTTAAAAGCCAACCCAACCCTCCTCTTCCACATATATAGAAAACCTAATTACAGCATGTATAAAGTATATTTTGAACATGGTCAGTTAAAAAGTAACACAGGTAGTATTCCAGGTGACTTGATAGCAATGGTTTTAGTACTGATTTAAAAGCTGTGTTTCAACTCTTAGTGGTTTTCTTTGTAACTCTATTTTATTGGTTATTTTAAAAAATTCAAATAGGTATTTTATCAGTCAGGGTTCAGTTAGGAGATAGAAAGTCAGGAGACAAAGTCAAACAGGAAGGATTTAATATAAAAATTGCTAGCTAGTAAAAGGTGGTTAACTACTAAAAGGGGTGAATTACAACACTATCGGGGCACAGAAGTAGCAATTTCAGAAAGCAGATGCTACCAGCAGGGCTGAAGGAGAATAAACAAGGGACTTGTTTATTCTGACCCCACCAGTCGAAGATTTAGATCTCTGAGAGGCTTGACGGGCACAGGAGCATGCAGCCCATGTGCCAAAGAAATATACCAGAGAGCATTGGCTGCTGCTGTACTAGAAGGTCATGGTGGCAGAGCCTGAGGGCATGAGCCCAGGGTAAACTGCTAGGGCTACTAAGGTGAGGAAGACAACTCACATGGGCTGATGTGCTGGAGACTGGCGGAAAACAGCACTGCAGAAGGAGGACGAAATTGGCTACCCAAAATGGGGGACCTCTAAAGGCAAGAAGTGACTGGCTTACAAGCTTTTAAGAGGGAGCCTAGTTCCAGACAGGGCAGGG